GTATGTGGATGGGGGAGGGGAACAAAAGGCAGGAATGGGGGTGTTATAGAAGTACAGAGTGGGAGGGAAACAGGAGCTGAAGTGGTGCTAGGACTGGATGGGAGCAGACGGGTGGGGGGTTGAGAAGTGTGGGGGTGTGGGTTTGAGAAATGCACAGAGAGTGGGGGGCAGGATCTGGGAGAAGGAGATTGGTTAGGAACAGAGGAGGAGTGGGACAGGAGCCAACGGCATGGAGTTGGATAGGTGCAGAAGCCAATAGGTAGGGGGTGCATAGAAGCAGAAGGGAAGAGAGGCAGGAATGTGGGGAATGGATAGAAGTAGAGGGGGGGCTGGAGACAGACTAAGGGTACAGGAGCAGAAGGATTTATAACCAATGCCCTCCAAAATCTAGAACTGAACCCAAGAGGCTTGAGTCTCACCATTCCTCTGCTGTCAGCAAATAGCTGTGAAACCCGCTGACAAAGTGTGTGTCTCATCTCCTTCTAAGGGCTGGTCCACATTTTCTAAGTGCCCAGAAAGTGACACAGAGCACCAGATTTGCAGAAGTGCTGAATACTCACAACCCCACTGAAGTCAGTGGGAGCTGTGCTTTGAGCATATAAAGTACTATAAAAATGCTAAGTACTCTGAAAAATTAGGTCCTTTTTATCTCAAATTGGGCACGCAAAGTTAATGGAAACTTGACAATTTTGGCCTTAATCTCTCTGGGCCTTAGTTCCCCAGCTGTAAAATGGGAATCATAATAGCGCCTCATCTCACAAAAGTTGCGAATATAACTTCATTCATATTTGTGAAGCGCCACAGAAACACCTAGGAGGAAATCCATAATTTTGTCTTCAGTGCAGGGTTTGGTTGGTATGCATTAAATGTGGGGCCACACATTGCATGAGGGAGATACAAAGAAATATTGTATAAGGGAGTCTTAATCGGTGTAATTTGCATGCCGATTTGCCGGAAGAAGCTGTAAGAATGTGCAAGTTATATAATTGTTACATTTCTTGACACCCTTTTCTTAGCTGCTTTTCTTGCTACAACACCTCCCTTCTGGGTCCTTTTCATGTGAGATACACCATCTTAGACACTCAAACAGACACAGGCTCAGTGAGCTACTTTCAGGGGCAGGGCTTGATATGCTAGCGGGAGCTGGGCAGCAAGATACTGGAGGCAGTAAGTCTGCCTGGAACAGGGGCACCTGAGGATCCAGAGTCATCTGACACAGCCACCGAGTGGAAGGGACTGGGCCTAAGCCAGTGGGAAATGTGCTGATTAAGTGCCTCTTTTGACTAGTCTCCACCTGTGCGCTCTTGTAGAGCCCCAACTGGGTTTTACAGCTGCTCTACTCTCCTGACAGACCCCCTCAAGGAGGTCAGTGGCAGCCTCAAATATTATTATTAATATTTGTGTTACGATAGCACCTTGAGGCTCCAATCAAGATCAGGGCCGGCTGTACTAGGCAGGGCACATTTGCACAGTAAGAGAGGATCCCTACCCCAAAGAGCTTGCAATCAGGATAGACAAGACAGACAAAGGGTGGGGGAAAGGAAATAGCATCATCCCCCATTTTACAGCCGGAGAACTGAGGCACAGAGAGATTGCATGACTTGCTCAAAGTCACTCAGGAAATCTGTAGCAGAGTTAGGATTTGAACCCACATCACCTGAATCCCAGTCCAGTGCCATGACCATCCTTCCTCTACACTGATGACAGCACTAACACATTTCAAGTAGGCTGGAAGAAGGAAGACATTATAACAACTTAGACTCCTTCAGAATTTAGCTCAGCTAGCCTCCCCACCTGGCCTTTAGTCTGTACAGTAGGTTCCCCATGGGAGTACAAAACAAGGCCTCCCTCAGAGGGCGCAATATGTGCTCCCATGCACCCCAAGCCAGTTGAGCTGGTCAGTGTGGAGTGGTCAGGACTACGGCTGCAACTCATTCATTCTCACCCTTTCCTTGGGTTTGGTTGCTCCCACTGATGCACTAGGAGGGAGAAGTCCCTGGGCTGAGCTGGTCACAGCTAATTTAGTGTCAGTTAAAGTGGCTTTTGAAGCAAGTTGCAGCCACGGCACTGGGCATTTCTGGTTTGCCCTGCATTAGCTGCTGTGTGGGCAGACAAATGCTAAAAGTCAGATAGACATTTACACAGACTCCAAGGATCCAACTACTTATCCCAAAGGATAAAAAAAAAAAAAAAAGATAAAGAACATCATTGTGGCCTCCCACTGAGCCAAAGAGGTAGGAACCACTATCTGATTCCTGGTGGGCGAAGCCAGGCTGGGCTCGTTCCTCCTGTCGGAAGCTAAGAGGCGGGACAGGAAGTATAAAAGGTGGAGCCTTTAATTCAGTTAGGTCTGAGCCAGGAAAGGGAGCAGATGTCTCCAGCCCCCTGCAGATCCCACAGTTTACCCTGTGCTGCCCCACGCCCTGCTCCTCCTGGAGGAGACTGATCCAGAAGAAGAGCTGCCATGACTGCTACTCACCCTGTACCCCAAAGACACAGGTAATGACCCTGAGCCACAGATACCTTACAATGGGAGAGTAGGAAGTAGTCCAGGGACAGCCAATATAGTCCAGTTGTGTTGCTGCCTGAACATTTGTCAATGTGTTTTGGACAGATCCCCACTGACACAGTGGCAGAACACTCCCCCACTGTTGGGGCCCTGGGCTGGGACCCACTGGAATAGAGTGGGCCCAGGTCCCCCTACCCCTTACTGCCAACCATCCCTGGGGTGGCAGCCTCCCCAACTTAGGCCAAAAGGCCTGCATTTGTCTGCCGTCTACCTGAGCCAAGCCGTCAGATGGATGGCTGTCTTCAGGGTCAGAGACACCCTGTCCACCCTAGACTGTTTGTTCTGCCCTGCTTGAGGGCCAAAGCCCTAACACTGTTTGTGGCTCTGCCCTGCCTGAGGGCCTGAGCCCCAAGACTGTTTGTGGCTACGCCCTGCCCAAGGGACTGGGCACATAGACTATTTGGTTAATCCACCCTGCCTGAGCCGGAGCCCCGAGACTGTTTGTTTGCTCTGCTCTATCCTGCTAGAGGAGTCTCAGCCCCACCGCTTGAATCGCTAATCATCTAGAACCTGGTGGTGCCCCAGTGATGTAGTGTGATGGAGTGGTCTCTCACTGAACTGGGGTGGGGGGAGGAATAGCTCAGTGGTTTGCGCATTGGCCTGCTAAACCCAGGGTAGTGAGTTCAATCCTTGAGGGGGCCACTTAGGGATCTAGCTAGGGCAAAAAAAATCAGTACTTGGTCCTGCTAGTGAAGGCAGGGGGCTGGACTCAATGGCCTTTCAGGGTCCCTTCCAGTTCTATGAGATAAGTATATCTCCATATTTATAATCCACTGCAAGCATGAAGAAAACACCCAGCTGTATCTTAATGGAACTGCACACAAAGCGGGTTTTTGGTTTACCTCACATCTCAGGCAATCCGAGCCACAGATAAAAAAGCAGCAACAGAGTCACCTAACTCAGTATCCTGGAGCCATACACCCTCCAAGACCCACATTGAATGCCAAGCACTTTCCAGGAGTTGCTAATGTCTTAGGAGCCACACATTCACCTGGGGCCACCAATGCTGTGACTGACTCAATAAGGAGCTACAGCTGCTGGTAAGTGCCCATTTCTCTACCATCCTCTCCCTGGCATGAGGGTTAAGATTTTGCTGTTTATTTTCCACATGCTGCTTCAGTGGAGATGAGACTCTGTGACACACCACCTCTCTTGGCGAGCAGTAAAGTCAGTTTTTAACTCATCCTTTTGTAACGACTTTTTACTGTTTCCTTTAAAATATTTACTGTTAAAAGTAATTGCTGGGGTGCCCCAGGCTGCTGCAGTCAGCCCAGCCAAGCTATGCCTGTGCACCCCAAAAGGATTTAAAGTAACATTTTGGAATCGATACGAAGAGCAAACAAGGCAATCACGAGCTAAATGACTCCACCCTTATCCCCAGTGTAAATTGCTTTCAGTGGAGTTACTATGAATCATCACCAGTGTGACTGAGGTTAGAACTTGGCTCTCCAAAAGTAACGTTGTCAGTTACATCTCACCTGGGAGATTCCCACTTGCTTAGAAGATTTTGAATTAACATAATGCGGCTGATGGAGACCACATTCTTTAATTTTGGCTCCGAAAATGACAAATGGTAGTTGAAAAGGGTCAATTCACAGGCTTGTTTTTTTCCTTCAAACTGCATCATTGCAGAAAAGCGACCAAAAGGGGATCAAATTGATTATGATGAATTATTTTGCTCTGATTGACTTAATAGCCATCCTAGCCTGCTGCTTGTCACCTCTCAGGTTCGGGGTTTGCTTTAGGAGAATGAGTTAATATCTTCTTCAGCATCTAATGCATCTCTAAATATTTGAAATGAAGCTACGTTAAATAATAATAATAAAAAACTCAACATGAGAGCAATGTTGCAGCTAACATGTTACACATGTTTTTTGCTTCTTAATTAGGCCAGCATATATCCAGATAACTCTGCCAGCTTCACTGGAATTATCTAGATTTACAATGATTCCTCTCAGAACAGAGTATGTTCCATTGGTTTACGGGCACTGTAAAATAGCTCCCCCTTCACATATATTATTTTTATCTGACATGCTCTGCTGTTAATATTTATGCCTTAGCATTTAGGTGTAGTCTGACTGCGTTATGACTTCTGTGGGGATGGGGATTTTCAATCTGCCTGCTTTTAACAGTGTAAAATTCCTACCTGCATTGTGGCATTAGTATAGTTTAGATATTTATTTTCCTTCCTTGTTTGTTTGTTTGTTTAAAAAAGAGGAAAACTGAATGTACGATGTGAGCCTCACCTACGTGTGGAGCTCACAAATTCAACTAAATGCACCACAGCATATATATAGTCATAAAAAGAAAGCTATTGAATGTATTTTAATGCATAGAATTCCAGGTAACTGCATAAAGCTACATGCCTTTCTCCTGTATGTTTAAAAATGAACAGAGCACATATTTTTTCATTGCCTTAAATTTTGTTGTTTTTTAAAATCTTTTTTTAACCTGAGCCTGTCAAAGCTCATGTCCCGTATTGAGAAGGATATAAATGCAAAGACCCCATTTTTCAAACCTTATTCATAAAGTAACAGATACTCACGTAAATAGCACTGTGAAGACAAAAGGTGGTCGGACCAGTTCCAAAGTTAGTACTTTTAGAACAAAATCATTTTGAGTTGGGTGAACAAAAAGTATCCAAATAACGCATAAAAGAAGTGTTGTTTTTTGACCTTGGCTAACAACAAAAACACCAAGTAGATTTTCTTCAAATTTTCCCTTTTGGGCTGAGTACAAGCAGAAGAGATTTTAGACCAAAGGATAATGGTAATATATATAACAGAATGAGATTGTTGTCTCAATTAATACAGTACGTGGACTGGATGATGGATTACCACCCACCACTAATAAGATCAGAAGAGGTTTTATTAGTCAGCATACATGAGAAACGTGGTTTTTTTTCTTTATTTTCATGGGAAACTAGCACTTGAACGTTGGTCACAGCCCCTTGGAACGAGCAGTACTTAATGTAACTTCGCTGTTGTAGTTATCGGTTTTACGTGTCAGCTCCGGCTACACAATGAAACCTGTTTGTAGTGTGACCTATTTTCAAAGATGCGGGAACAAGTGACACTCTAAATGTCCTGAGTGATTTCCACTGAACTCCAGACATTTAGTTGGACAGATCCAGTGAGTGTGTGGTCACCTGCTGAGTTGGCTAATAGTATTTAAGGGGAAAACTCTAGGTCTTCTCAGTGTTTGGGATTCCTTCATTGGTGTACAGCTGCACGGGTGCAAACCTCAACTGTAGACAAGGAAAGCCATGATTTGCACTAGCTTAGTTTATCCCTGCTTGAATGTAGGATTGTCAATTGGTGCAAATCACAGGTTTCCTTAGGCCCATTCCTGTCCACCCTTGGGTTTTACATGGTTCCTGGCCATCAATGACTAAAATTGAAACTAATCCCAAGTAAAGATCACGACCTATAGAAAAAGACATTTCCCAGAGGGAACGAAAAAAATTATATAACCAGTAATTGCAGAAAATGGAGGTGTTTTTAAATTAGAGGCTGTTAGTGAAGACAGGTGAATTTCCTTGTTAGTTGTGACACATAATTTGAGAGAATTTTTTTCCACTCTCGGGAGCTTTTGGAAAGCCAGTTTCAGTATGAACAGCTTATTAAAAAAGAAATAGAATTAATCCTAGCCAGCAAAAGAGTTTAATCTGCCCAGAGCACTTGAAAAGCTGTAGCCAGTATGCTGTTAAAAGCAAATGTAAATGCCTGAGCATATTTAGAGAGGTTTGTTTTTGGAAAACTTGCATTACAAAAATGACGCTGCAAATATCACTGAAAACGGCAGGGTAAAATCCTGCTCATCTTACTCACCCACACAGTCCCCTGGATTTCAAAGGGACAACTCATGTGAGGAAGGAGAGTAGAATCTGGCCCCCAGGCTCATTTGAGAAGCTTTCTGTGAATATTCCTGGGTTTTACACTCATCTCAGTCCTGTCCAAAGGTCTGTATTTTATATGTCACTTACCCACCTTATTCCCTCTCAGTGTTGGTTTCAAGACGGAATAAAGATCTGACTGCAGATGGCATTTACGAGCATGGTGAGTATAAATTTACTACTGCTAAATAATCGCTCTCTCTTCCCCCCTTTCAGTTTGTGACCTAGGCTATGACATCATTCCCTAAGGCGCAATAACACATTCCCCTGAACATATTCTAGAACTGTGTTGTCCTGTCCAAGCTAGCAATAACCATCTGTTCAGTCATGGATGCTCCCGCCATATCAAACCACTCGGCTCATGCAAACCTGTAGTATGGTTCAGCCAAAAGATGCTGGACATGAATTTGCCTGCTGAGCTGAGAGTAGAACTGTACTTTGCTCTCCTATCGGATCTTCCAAGTGAAGATCTTAAAGCACTTTACCATGAAACACCCCAGTGAGCTAAGTATTATTGTCTGTAGTTTATAGCTGGGGAGCCAGATCCTCAACTGATGTAAATGGGCAGCTCTGTTAACTTCCACCTGCTGAGGTTCTCGCCTGGGGAATGAGAAGCAGAGAACTTCATTGATTTGCCTAAATTCACACAGCAAGAGCATAGATTATACCTATGATTTAACAGCAGGATCATACCTATGCCCCACAGATGGGGAAGCATCAGAAGATTCAGGTGCTCCCTCTGGAAATAACCTGTTCTTGCAAGACTTCTAGATGCCCTGATTAGAAATGCTGCATTAAAAGGGCACTATCATTTACTTATTATATGTAAAAAAAATCAGATATATAATATGTAGATAATATGTAAGAAAGAGATGGCCTGATTCTGATGACACACCCGTTTTACACAGGTCTTACTCCACTTGGCCACAGTCTGATCTCTGTCACGCTGGTGTAAATCTGCAGTAGCTCCACTGATGCAACACCAGTCCAAGTCAAGTCAGAAAATGGCTGATTGATTCCAGTGCAGTTACTCTGTATTTACACTATTTTAAGCATGAAGAGACAGGCCCAGCACGTCCTTTTTGGAGTAAAAGTTATAATACAGCAAAAAGGTCACAAGAGCGATGTGTCTGCTATGCAATTTTAGCCTTGTCCCTGTTTCCTATAGACTCTGTTGGCTAGGTTCTTTGTTGCTCTCACTTTTCTTTGGGCACAGCAGTGAGAGGGAAGCCAGAACGTTGCCTGTTCTAGGTCCCTGATTATGGGTCTGTCCCCATCCCTGTCTGATGTAAACTGCACTGGCTGGAAATGGGACCATCTGTATTGCCAGACTGCAAGGCACATCAGCTATAGTCCTTCCTTGCACCTCCCAACCCTGACACACCAGCTATGCTGGGTGGTGCAGAGTTGTGGGGAGGTGGCATACTGGCTTTACATCCACGGGGCGCTGCCTGCCATGGAACAATCCCCAATAGGTCAAAGTTGATTTAGGGCTTTCAGGCTATCAGAAACATTCTGAGTTGAAGGAGAAAACATTTCTTGTTGGTGAAAGAGAGATGTCAGAATCTCGCTTCCAAGCAATGAGTTATGGAACTATGAAAAAATTCCACCTTCGCTGTTTCTTATTTAATGACTTTGTCAGCATGTAATTAACCTGATGTTCCCCTGCAGGCCACCCAGAACTACTCAGCCGACCTGGATTATTATACGGGTTCTAGTTCTGTGTTGCTGCCATACGACAACCCGTTTAACCGCACAGAAACCATTCGTGAAAAAAGTCACACCTGGCAATTTGCTCAAACTTTCCTGACAGCATTTTTCGGCATTGTATTCTGCATCGGCACAGTGGGTAATGCCTTAGTCATCCTCATCTTCTGGAAATACAGATACAGGAAGAGCATCACAGACAGATACCTGCTGCACCAGACCATTGCTGATCTGCTCCTC